ACACAAACATTTAGTTCAATATATGGATTCTAAATAGTAATGCAGATAATCAATATTGGTGTACCAAATGGGTCGATTTTTGTATCTTCAATACCAGATTGTGTGTTTTGTGAGGGTTTTACCTAAGGAATTTTCGCCAAGTTTTCTACAATGGTAGACAGGAATTTTTGACGAGTTTTCCGATGGTATTCTTTGGACACCATCACATCAATTTCTCCTTTCATTAACAGTTGATAGAAATTTTATTGATTGACTGTTGATGCAATATTTTTCACTGAGGCAATGGCATTTTATTGATGCAATGACTGTCAGCCTTCTTTTTAACAAGAGATTGACTATCAACAAAAGGAAAAGAAGAGAGGGTGTGCAAAATTAGGTGGGTGTGTCGTTGGGTATGATAATATTATGAATCAGAGTAAATTTTATATTAAGTGGAGTGCTCAAAGAAATCTTATTGAAATTTAGGATTTAGGGTAGGGGTTTAAAGAAATGTGTGGTCCAAAGAATTTAAGCAGGTGCTAATAACAGCTCTCAAAATTAAAAGAAAATTCTACTTACAGAAAATGATATATATATTTATATATATATTTTTTCTCAATTTTACCTATGTGTGAAATTAAGGTAAAAATTAAATAGATTTGATTATCTTTTTACACCTATTACATTTCAATCCGTATTTATTTTCTTCCTTTCTCATTTCTTCTTCTCTATTATACATCTACCTTCAAAAAGTGAGAATCATAGTATTTTGATCATAAAAGAAATTAATGGATGAAGAAATGGTGATGAAGGACCAGCAAAAAAGTGAAATAGTGAGTCTTTTCTTTATTTTTTTTTATTATATATTTTTTATGTTTTCATTTCGTTTTTGAAAAAGACTGTTCGACTTTTACACTACCGAACAAAACAATACTTGTTTAGTAACATACTACCAAACAAAAAGTATATGCCCAGTAGCTCATTGCTAAACGTTTTTCAGTTTCATTTTTTTGACAATTTTGTTTTTGTTTTTTTTTTGCTTTGAAGGATTATATTGTTGTTCATTTTAGTAAGGCTAGTAGTGCATTGTTAATGGTTTGTTTGATTTATTTGCTTCCTGGTCATCTAGTACCACCAAAAGCAAGTAATTGGATTCGTTTTCATCACCTGTGTGCTAAAGGATGGAAGAGAGCATGTACTATTTGTATTGATCAATTTCATACGCTTGTCAGCCCTAATGTAGTAACTACTAAAACTATCAATATAAATGGATTGTGATAACATCTCAGTGAGTTTTTATAGATATTTGTATTAACAATTTTGAAGATATTTGTATTGACAAGTTTTATGAATATTTTTATAGATGCTTGTACATTTCATATTTTTATGGATGTTTGATATTTTAAGGAAAGTGAATATGTAAACCTGTGGCAACAGATGGCTGAAAAAATCTTGTTTGTTAGGCAACATGATACCGAAATATAACAAATTGTTTGGCAATGTATAATCGAACAGTCCCATAATAAATTTAGGGAGGAAAATGATATTTATTTGAAAACATGCGACAATAGATGGCTAAACAAATATAGTTTGTTCGGTAACATAACACCGGAGTAGTTCAAAAGGAATAGATGTAATGAGAAAAATCTATAGGGGTTTTGAAAATGATTTAATTTAGGGTTAGTTTTGGTATTATAAAGTGTGTAATGAGAATTTCAATTATTTCTTAATGGTGTAATGAGAAACTAGGTGTAAGAGATAAAATTATGGTGTAACTAGAATTTCCCAAAATGAAATAAGAGACTAATATTTTGGGACGGAGGGAGTATTATTCATGAAAAAAACCAAGTCGATTCGATAGCTATAACCACATTAATTATATTTGTCTTTCAAAAAATTAATAGTCTAGTTTTCAAATAATATATGCCATTCATTCTTTTGCAAATAATGTAACGCCACCAAATTAATTAAATTAAAACATTACTCATAACATGATTAATCTGAAATCTTAACATACCAAACAATAATATTAATCCCAAAACCCCTCTTTTCTATTGAACTACATATCAAATATTTACAAATTTCCATATTTTTGTCTTAGTTACAACAATATAAACTTAGTTCAAGAAGCTAAGGGACAAAAGTAATAATGCCTTAATGGCATACAAACATCAAGGCAAGGCCTTGTTACAACAAAATGGACACGCGGTCCCAAAACACATATGCTCAGAGCTTCCACATAACACATCCATGAGCCTTCGTGCCCTAACAAAACAAAAGAGTCCCCCTCCTTCTCATAGGGGTGGTTGCACATAACCAATTCCTGAAATTGTTAGATAGGAATGAGTTAAATGCCCAATAGAAATACTTTTAACAAAGTATCTAGTTATTTAAAAATCCACGTGACATTATCACAACAAAACATTTTTAATTCAATTCATAGTATTAATTTAAGAAAGAATATATGAATTCATAGCTTCCACTATTTCACAATTTAACAACGGGAGGTAAATACGCCATGAAATTCCTAAAGAGAGTCCCAATACATACATATACATAGGTTTATATACAAAATATCCCCACATTTGCCGCTATTAATACGGCAAGGAATGGACACCCAAAATCATCCAGTTTTCTATTTTTACTGATTACAATACGGCAGAACCAGTGGACCCCCAAAAACACTTTCCCACATTCGTCCGGCAATAAACTCAAGACAGGGCAATTGGACACCTAAACTTTCCCCCGTGCGGATACCAACAATGCACAATTCTTTCCAAAAACTGACTCCCTACCCGGACTCACATGCTATTTACCACCCTTTAAACAACCTTTCCAATATTTTCAAGTATACATACATTCTTTAGATAAAGGGTAATATACACCACTCAAGTAATTTAATGGAGTAATGAGGAACAACATTCATAATTCAAGAAAAATCTTAAGAGGTTTCAATTTCACAAGTCTCAATTAATACATATTCAAAATATCATAATCTATTTATCAATTTTAAAGAATTAAAAATCAATTTCATCTTTTTCCAAATTTTATAACTAGGGTTTTCATAAATTTTGGGCTTTTACCCTAAATCATGTTAACTGTTATTTTTCAATTAAAATCTTCATAATCCATAGCTATTAAAAGAAATCTTAAGAAAATGTAGAGAAATTTTTATTTTTGAAACAAAACCCAATTTTGTAAACTCGAACATTAAATTATAGCATCAATGTTATATAGCACCCTATAAACATCCTCAAAATAAAGAGATACAAGATTAAAAGTAATCCTACCTTAAAGATAAATGTAGAGAAGCTAGATCAAGAAAATTCCTTCAAAAAATCCAAAATTCAATTAGTCAAAATGTTAATCACTTGTTCTTTATCTTTAATGCAAGATCTATGGTGGATTCTTGGTGAAAAATAGATGAAATCAAGGTTTGGAGGTCTAGGGTTTCAGGTATGGAAGAGAGGGAGAGAAGAGAGGAAGAAAGAATGAAAAGTTTGGGCCAAAAAGTGCCTTTAAAGTGCATGATTTCGAACAGACCGCTTGAGTGTTGAAATTAAGCTTCCAGAATCTCGGAATCCCACACAGACCGCTTGAGCGGTCAAAAGTTCGCTCGAGCAAACTTGACACAGATACTCAAATTTTAAATGGGCATAACTCCCTCGTCTGGACTCCATTTTAGGTTGTTCTTGTGTCCAAATTGAAGCCCCGAAAACAAAATTTCCAATGGTTCTAGCCTTATGTCTAGATTTAAAGTATGGAGAGATAGAGGTAAAAGAGTGAAGACTGCTCATGGGACAATTATCCGAATAAATGTTTTTAGTTCAATCCTACTTTACCATTCTGATATCACCCCAATCAATACTCTAAAATCAATCAAAGAGGCTTCAAGTACAATAATAAGAGAGTAAAAAAAAATCCTACTAGTCCAAAGAGTATGAAGTGTTACAAATAATGTGTCATAAAATAACATAGCTATGGTAATTAGATCGACTTATTTTTTTTATTAATAATTTATACTTTATAATCTGAAAAATAAATTATTTAAATCATCGATACAAAACCAACAATGAAGACCCCAGACCAGACAACTTGCTGCCTTTTTGTTTTATCAGTGCTGTTAATGGCCCCTGTCTCTTTATTTATTGGAACCCAGCCCATCAAAATTGCTTTAGACACCTACCTTATTTTTGAGTAAATTATTGCTTTACACGTATTTGTACCTTTTCATTTGCTAAAAATATTACCTAAATAATGATACATGGTATTTTGTAAGTATAAAAAATTCTATTTATACAAAAAATATTACATAAAAGTGATGATGCTATTTTCATAAATAAATTCATTTTTACGAATATTTTGATTTAATTTTTTTTTTCAATTTGTCACATGATTTAGTTATTAGTAGCGATGGAGAACAATACAAATATATCATACTTGCTGATTGAAAACATTTATGTCAAGCAATGTCACTCTGAATAAAAAATTATATATAAATTTTATGTTTATTTATAGGAGGTAGATTTCCTCCAATCTATAATCTATACTAGAGGACAATGGTTGGGCCCGCGAAACCTACTATAAGTTCTGTTTCAATGATTCAAGCCATTTATTTTGTTGGACACTTCGTGCATATTATTCGTAAAAAAATCAGGTCAATCTTATTATCATAACCTATTTAATTTATCATTTTTGTCAAAAAAATGAATAATTTATTTTTAAAAGCACAATTATCGTTTTTATTTTTATTTTTATAACAAACGTGATAAATTGAATATGATACGATTATCGGATCAATATAATTTTGTATGTAAATGATATACATGTTATGCCTCACAAAATAAATTGTTCGAATTATCGAAACGAACCCTATGATAGACCATGTAGACCTAAACATATGGATTGGAGGAAATTCACCTCCTATATATACTTCCTCTTTAATAATTTTTCCTCCCCATGTTTTCATTGCCAACAAAGCCTAAAGCGAAAGCACTGCCAGAAAAAAGAAAAATGAAAAAATGAAAGGAATATCCTCCAAGCCAAAAGTTGATCATGCTGATGTATTTCCAGAGATCACTCTGAGGTCGTTAGATCTCTCCGACACTGACGACTTCATGGTATGGGCATCAGACGAAGAGTGAGCCAGTTTTGCACTTGGGACAGATACACTTCAAAGAACAAGCCATTAATTTCATACAAAACATAGCAATTCCTCATCAATCGACGAGCAATATGCCTAAAAATAGAGTAATTGGCTCTGTTTCAGTGAATCTGAGCTCAGGCATTGGCAAAAGTAGAGCAGAGCTTAGCTATGCCATGGGCTCAGAGTATTGGGGCAGAGGAATCATCACAATGGCGGTGAAAATGGTGGTTTCCATTGTGTTTGGCGGGTGGCCAGAGTTGGAGAGAATCGAGGCTATAGTCGTTGCTGAAAATTTGGGGTCATAGAGGGCGTTGGAGAAAGTTGGGTTTCGTAAGGAGGGTGTACTAAGGAAATATGTTTTTCTCAAGGGGAAGACTCGAGATTTAGTCATGTTTAGTCTTCTATGCTCGAATCTCCATCATTGATTTGGATTCTTTTATGTTGTGTTTGGATCTTGTGGATGAAGAAGAAAAGAAAAGGAACTTTTTCCTCCATAAATTTAGTAAACTTGGATCACTAGATAAGTTTCCTAAATGACCATCCATTTGGATGATTCCTTACTTGCTTGCATGAAAAACAAATAAATAAATAATTGTAATATGTCACTATTGTGTTTGGATCACTAAAAAATAAAAGAGGATATATTTGTGTGTATTTTTTTTAATACTTTTGTTGGCAATAAAAATTATATTCTCTGTCGATTGATCATCACAGATGTAGAAAAGTGATCCAGTGGAAGTTGAAGATGAAAACATAAGTTTGTTGAGGAGTATAATTCCCAGAATGCAGAACAAATGATGGCAGTAAAGCAAGCAAGTGGAAGAGGCAAATTTTTCCTGTTGATTCATCTGATAATACACTGAAGCAAGGCCAAACATGGCCCAGGTGTTAAGACATGAGATAAAGCATGCAAGTAAGGTAGAATACGTGACCTATTTACAAGGAAAAGGATTGCTGCAGTAAAGAAGTAGTTACCAGCAGTTGCGGAAGATCATGGGTAGTTATGCAAAGGCGTGGAGATAACTGACTTCATAGTGAGACACATGGCATCAAAGAAATGGCAAGGCTAGCAGTATAAAGGTTGGAGATTGGAAGAAAAGGACACACAACCTTCACTACATATGTGAAACTAGGAGTAGTTTAACTTAATTAGCAGTAGTCTTTATACTTAGTAGTAGTTCTGTTCGTAATTTAGCTTCTATAGCTAAGTTTTATTCTGTCGATTGTAGTGTAATTGAAACTTGCAATTTAATTCCTGCAATTAAGTAACGGGTTTTCTTGTTTCTTCAATCAAATTCAGTTTATTCCCATTTGTTTCTTCGCATTACAACCTCCAAAGAAGTCCTTGAATCTGTCAAGGCATAGGGCATTTCAAACCACAATTGCTTGATTTGTTTTGTTTGTGAAATTCTGGGTTTTCTGTCGAATCTTCTCTGTCGATTTGGCCCAAACCAGATTTTTGATAACATATTTTGGCATGCCTAGTGGGACCTATCTAATTTGGAGTGATGGCTAGGAAGAAACAGCATGAAGTCTTTGAAGATCCTGAAAAAAGAATTGAAGATGGAGAAGAGTTGGAAGGTAAGCTTGAAGGAGTGCAAGACAACCTAACTGATGGCCATTAAGTGGCCAGGCGGGAGATAGGCCAAGGAAATGGCTAGGGTATGGTAAAAAATGGCCAATCTAGTTGCCCTTCTGTTGATCCAAGAAGGGCTCTTCTGTTGCACACCCAGCAAACAATTGGTTCCATGTCTGCGTATGAAACCAGGTGATGATAGATGACCTACTGTCTTTGTTTGAGAAAGCCAATATCAAGCCCAGTAAGTCATGAAGAGTTGAGGATGAGACTCAAGTAAATAAAGTACAATGTATACCTCCTATGGTCCCTTAACAGCATGAAAGTATAAATGAACCTATGCCATTTTACAGACACCCTGTAGACACCCCATTTTTGACAGCCCATAAGACTTGGGCGTTACTGATGGTTTACTTGGTGATAAAAGGTGTGCAAGGCAAAGATCCAGTTTCTTCGGCAAGGAGAGAGAAAAGTCTCAAATTCACACCCCGTTTTGGACCAAAGCTATTTTGGATGGTTTTTAGACCTTAAAACCCTGTCTTTCAAAACTTTTTTTGAAATAAAGTTTCTGCGTTGTTCCGAGGCTCGCATTTTGTCAAACGTTGCGCTTTTCGGTAAAGAGCAGGAACGAAGTGGAAATGAATGAAAGAGAGATGAAATCTTTGAAAAATCTTTCAAAACACCTTGCTTAGGGGTTTGAAGTTGAAGAAAGGAGGGGAAGAGAGAAGAAACCAAGTTGGAGGAGAAGACAGGCATGAATCTGGGTAGAAGGGAGTCGAGCAGTCCTCGCTGAACCGGGCTTATTAATCTGCATACTTGGATTTTAGCTATGGGGCCACCACCGTCGGAAAGCTCACTTCTGGGGCTTCATTTTTCACTCAAGAATCTCTTAAAGTCAAGTCCGGGTGGGGGAGATATGATCAGTTGAAGTTGGGCATCATCCCGGTTGGATCGAATCTGCGCGGCTTCACCAAAAAGGGCATAACTTTTTGCACAGGAGGAATTTTAATGCAAGGTTTGCGCCATTGGAAAGCTAACTTCCGGGGCTTCAATCTAGACACCAACCGGCCACTTTTTGACCTTGGAAGCATCTGTCGGCAATCTATTTATCCGACCGGCAATTTATTGTGCCGACCGGCCATTTATTTTAGCCGACCGACCATTTTTGTTGGCCGACGACCTTCCGGAGTATTCTACAGATTGAGTGGATGCCAGCTGTGCCAGCTGGAGGGCACAGACTGGATCCTCCATACACGTGTATGGAGGATCTTTGCTCTTGGTTTGAAGCTTCTAAGAGAAGCTTTAGTCTCTTGGCTCTTTAAAGGAAGCTCTCCTCTTCCTTAGACTAGGTTAGAAAACCAGCTGGAGCATTACATACAATCCTCCATATATCTATCTCATCCAAGCCTCCAAACCCTAAAATCCTTGCTCCATTTGCACTACACCCTATAGCACCACACCACCACTCCATTCCAACAGTTTGGAGGGCCTTCTCAGAGCTTTGGAGGCACCTTTTCTCAAGCCAAAAGGCTACTAAAGTTTGGTCTTCAAGGGTGAGCAACATTTCCTCTCTTTTAAGCTTATTTTTGTATCCTTTCTAAGCCATACATGCTTGTATATTTGGGCTCCGACCCTAACTGGAACTAGGCTTATTTTGAGCTATTTTTCATGTTTGTTTAAGGGCCTCTCACTGTTTGAGGCCTCCTTGTTGCACTTGCTTCATTGCCTCTATTGTATTCCATTTTCTTGTGTAGTATTTTTGGTCTATGTATAAATTGTTTTGAGGCATGTAATAAACTGTAAAGTTTCTCATTTTGAGCCCTTATTCAACATTGTTGAAGGTCTCATCACTGTTTGAGGCTTCCATTTGCCACTTTCCTTTATATCTCTCTTTTAGCTCCATTTTTGCATGATTTGTTAGCCTCTTATGCTTCTGTTTTTGAGCTTTGGTCCAAACTATAAATAGCCTTATTTTGACCCCCTATTCATGTTTAATTAAGGGTCTTTTACTGTTTGAGGCATCCTTTTTGTACTTTGTGTTATAGCTCTCTTTTCTTGTTTTGCATAGTATTTTGAGCATACTTGTGCACTGTTTTGGGTTTGATCATAAACTGAAAAATGCCATGTTTTGGGTCCCTCTTAAACATTGTTGAAGGGCCCTCTCTTGTTTGGGGCCAGCAGCTGTGACTTGCTTTTTTATCTCACATCTAGGGCCATTTTTGCATATTGGTTTAGCCCTATTTGTGTTCATTGTTTGGTCTTGATTAAAACTGAAAACATGCTTTTTTTGGGGCTTCCTTGAATCTGTCTTCATGCTTCATGTTCAAATAAAGTATGCTTTGTATAGCTGTAGGCCATTGCGTGTGCCTAGTTTTGCATTTCGGGTCTCATTCCATGCATCGGGTGCCATGTTTCCGTGGTTCGGGGCTGTTTTATATCACATTTCAGTGCTAAAATTACATGCTTGTATGCCATATTTCATGCCTCGCCATGCCTTGTTAGAGTTTCATACTATGCCTTAGGTTTGGTCCTCAGTTTGCGTGCATGCGTGCACGCGTTTTAAGAGTCTCATTTTCATCTAATGGCCACCGATTTTGGCATGCTTGCGAACTATCCATGTTAGTTTAAGTCCATCATCGCATGTTGTTGCATGCCATGTTTACTTACATGTTTAGGTTGCGCGCCTAGTATACATTGCTCGAGGCTATAGTGGTTGCTGAAAATTTGGGCTCATAGAGGGCGTTGGAGAAAGTTGGGTTTCATAAGGAGGGTGTACTAAGGAAATATGTCTTTCTCAAGGGGAAGACTCGAGATTTAGTCATGTTTAGTCTTCTATGCTCGAATCTCCATCATTGATTTGGATTCTTTTATGTTGTGTTTGGATCTTGTGGATGAAGAAGAGAAGAAAAGAAAAGGAACTTTTTCCTCCATAAATTTAGTAAACTTGGATCACTAGATAAGTTTCCTAAATGACCATCCATTTGGATGATTCCTTACTTGCTTGCGTGAAAAATAAATAAATAAATAATTGTAATATGTCACTATTGTGTTTGGATCACTAAAAAATAAAAGAGGATATATTTGTGTGTATTTTTTTTAATACTTTTGTTGGCAATAAAAATTATATTCTCTGTCGATTGATCATCACAGATGTAGAAAAGTGATCCAGTGGAAGTTGAAGATGAAAACATAAGTTTGTTGAGGAGTATAATTCCCAGAATGCAGAACAAATGATGGCAGTAAAGCAAGCAAGTGGAAGAGGCAAATTTTTCCTGTTGATTCATCTGATAATACACTGAAGCAAGGCCAAACATGGCCCAGGTGTTAAGACATGAGATAAAGCATGCAAGTAAGGTAGAATACGTGACCTATTTACAAGGAAAAGGATTGCTGCAGTAAAGAAGTAGTTACCAGCAGTTGCGGAAGATCATGGGTAGTTATGCAAAGGCGTGGAGATAACTGACTTCATAGTGAGACACATGGCATCAAAGAAATGGCAAGGCTAGCAGTATAAAGGTTGGAGATTGGAAGAAAAGGACACACAACCTTCACTACATATGTGAAACTAGGAGTAGTTTAACTTAATTAGCAGTAGTCTTTATACTTAGTAGTAGTTCTGTTCGTAATTTAGCTTCTATAGCTAAGTTTTATTCTGTCGATTGTAGTGTAATTGAAACTTGCAATTTAATTCCTGCAATTAAGTAACGGGTTTTCTTGTTTCTTCAATCA